ACCACATGAACTCTTGAAACTCTTGCACATGTGTTAGACGAGTGTGCGCGGCGCTAAGGCGAGAGCCACATATTGAACAGACACCGCCTTCCATCCGTGCAGCACTTGCAATGTTTGAAACTATGAATGTGGGCGGCGCAAAGGCGAGCGCCACAGTTTGAACACCGCCCGCCCTCCATCCGTGAAGCCCTCGCAATCTTTTACAGGGATTGTGCGCGGTGCTTAGGCGAGAGCCACATTTTGAAAACAGCCCGCCCTCAATCCGTCACGGTAGGAGGAGGAGGAGGCGGAGGAGGAGGAAGATGAGGAGGAGGACGACGAGGATGAGGAGTTGGAGGAGGAGGAGGAGGAACAGGAGGACGAGGAGAAGGAGGAATCAGAAGAGGAGGAGGAGTAGGAGGAGGAGGACGAGGACGAGGAGTTGGAGGAGGAGGAGGAGGAGAAGGATTAGGAGGAGGAGGATTAGGAGGAGGAAGAGGAGGAGAAGGAGGAGGAAGAAGACGAGGAAGAGGAGGAGGAGGAGGACGACGAGGACGACGAGGAGAAGGAGGAGGAGGAGGAGGAGGAGGAGGAGGAGGAGGAGGAGGAGGGGGAACATCGGCTGCTGTGGAGGAGGCGGCGGCAGGGGGGCCGCACGTGCCCGTCGCAGCGGCAGCGGTGTGGCGAGGCGCGGCGGCTCGCTCGCCTGCAGCGGCGGCCGCGGCCAGCGCCGCCCCAGCGTGGGCAGCACCACGGCGAGCGCCTCGGGGACGGCCCGCTGCCAGGGAAGCCGCCGGGCGGAGGGGGGCGAAGACGCGGACGAGGAGGAGGAGGAGGAGGAGGAGGAGGAGGCGGACGATGACGAGGACGAGGACGAGGACGAGGAGGAGGACGAGGCGGAGGAGAAGGCGGAGGAGGAGGAGGAGGAGGAGGAAGAGGAGGAGGAGGAGGAGGAGGAGGAGCAGGAGCAGGAGGAGGAGGCTTCTTCAGGCCATCTTGTGGCTTCCCACGGGCTTCCCGGGAGCCTGTCAGAGGCCCCTGAGGGCTCTCTTGGGGGGCCCCAGGGTGTCCCAGGAGGTCCCACGGGGCGCCCACGAGCGCCCACGTTGCAGCACGGGCGGCAACGCGGCGCGACGTCGGCGGACCCTCCGGGCCACGGGGCGCCCACGAGCGCCCACGACGCGAGGAGGGCGAGTTGAGACAACGGTAACTCGCCCCTCGTCGCCGAGACCAGACGCAGCTCGGAAGTATTGTGCGTGTGGGCCCAGGCTCCGATTTTCAGTTGCCGTTGCCGTTGTCGCCCCCCCCGCCCCCCGCCCGCCCCCGTCGTGCGTGCTTGCTTGCCTGCTGCTCCTTTGCCGCCTCCCTTCCCCCCTCTCCTCCTGCATGGGTATGTCTGCTCGCCGCGTTTTTCCTCCTCCTCCTCCTCCCCCGCCTCCCCCTCGCCGGACAGCACAGCCTGCCCGGAAGCAGCGTGGCGGCGCGCAGGTCTGCAAAGCAGGCCTCCGGCTTGAGCTCTGGCAACGGCTTCAGCCCGTGCCGCGTTGGAGTGGGGCCGCCTCCGAGCTCAGCGTGTCCCGCTGATGCAATTGCAGGCGGTTTCTAGAGGTCAGCTCTGTGGATGAACCCCAGGTGGCATCCTTCAATTCGCGTCGAATTGCGGGGGGGCCTCGCCCCCTGGTCGGAGCATCGGCGCTGCCATGCCCTGTTGTTGGCCACGCCGCCTGAGCAGACAGACGTGGCTTGCCCTCGGAGGGGAGGGGGCGCCGCCCAAACTGGGGGAGCACCGCGTTCGAGCACCGCGTTCGAGCGCCTCGGAGAGGGCCCCCTGCCGGGGAAGCAGCCGGGTGGAGGGGGGCAAAAGGTAGATGCGCTCGCCCCATCTCCGGCATTCTACCCCTCCCGCCCATCCCTTCCCATTGCGATGTTTGTTTTTCTTTCCTCCGACGCGTATCGTAGCGGGCCTAGAATGCAGCCGCCTGCGGCAAGTCCCATCACCGTGACAGCCCAGCATTCTGGTTGATGATGATGATGATGATGATGATGATGATGATGATGATGATGATGATGCATTTCATGCTGATGTTGATGGTCATGCAGAGGCTGGTGATGCTGATGGTGATGGGGATGACAGGCTGATGGTGATGATGGTTCTGGTGATGATGACGATGATGATGCTGAGGATCATGATGCTGATTGTTTTGGTTATGATGATGATGTAGGTGATGATGCTGATTGTGATGCAGATGTTGCTGCTGATGACGATGCGGACGGCGACGACGATGATGATGCTGATGAGGATGATGATGATGATGATGTTGATGCTGATGGTGGTTATGCTGCTGATGATGCTGATGACGATGATGCTTACTACGATGACGATGATGCTGTTGCTGCAGTTGGTGTTGATGTGGACGACGATGATGCTGATGATGATGATGGGATGCTGCTGCTGCTGACGATGATGACGATGATGATGATGGTGATGCTGCTGATGGTGATGACAACGATGATGGTGATGCTGATGATGATGCTAACGACGACGACGATTGTGATGCTGCTGCTGATGATGATGACGATGACGCGGGTGATGATGACGATGACGATGATGGTGATGCTGTTGATGGTGATGGTGGTGGTGATGGTGCCTGTGATGCTGACGATGACAATGATGGTGGTGATGATGATGCTAACGGTGTGCTGCTGCTTGGCTGTCAGGCTGCTGGTGATGATGGTGATGGTGATGATGATGATGATGTTGATGATGATGACCCTGCAGTGATGATGCTGGTGATGCTTGTGCTGATGATGTTAATGATGACGATGCTGATAATGCTGGTGCTGCTGCAGCTGATGATGACGATGCTGATGATGATTGTGTCGATGATGTGGATGACGACGACGATGACGATGAGGATGGTGTCGGTGATGAGATGATGATGGCGATGATGAGTCTGATGATGATGGTGATGATACTGATGATGATGCTCTTGACGATGATGCTGATGAGGCTGTTGATGATGATGGTGATGCTGATGGTGATGTCGATGATGATGCTGATGCACATGATGATTCTGCCGACGGTATTGAGGTTGATGATGATGCTGATGCTGTCGTTCATGATGATGATGGTGATGATGATGGTCATGGTCATGACCATGCTCATGATCATGCTGCGTGTGATGATGACGATGGTCATGAGGATGGTGATGGTGATGGTGATGGTGTTCTTGCCGGTTGTGATGATGGTGTTGATGCTGATGATGGTAAGGATGATGATGATGGTGATGATGATGCTGATGATAATGATGATGCTGATGATGATGATGCTGCTGATGATGATGATCATGATGATGATGATGATGATGATGATGATGATGATGATGCTGATGATGATGATGATGATGATGATGATGATAATGATGATGATGATGATGATGATGCTGATAATGATGATGATGATGATGATGATGATGATGATGATGATGATGATGATGATGATGATGATGATGATGATGATGATGATGATGGCGGCTGTTGAGTGCCTCTTGGGCCATCGTGGAGCTCTCTGGGGCCGTCTTTAGCTGACGGCAGCCTGAACAGGCGAAAATGTCAAACTCAATCGAATACCGAGGGGAACACAATCGTTGTGGTTTCTTCGGTCCCTGTTGGAGGTATTTTTGTTGCCATTATGGGCCCTCTTGGAGGCATCTTGGGCCGTCTTGAAACCATATTCACCCGCCTTAGGGCCATCTTGGGCCGTCTTCGGGGCATCTTGGGCCATCTTGGTGTCCTTGGTTGCCTGCACGGGCCGTCTTGGAAGCTCGGGACGCGCTTCTATCGTGTTTGACGAGGGATCGTTGCTTGGGAGGCCCTATACCGCTTGGGGGCAGCGCCTGGGAGTGCGGGAAGTGCACGATCTTCGAGCGCGTGCGCGTGGGATGAGGGGCCTAGGAGTTAGCAGCCACGCGGGAAGTGCACACTCCTCGAGCGGGCGCGCATGGAATGAGGTTTCAGGCGTTTACTGCCATGCGGGAAGTGCACCATTCTCAAGCGGGCACGCGTGGAATGGTGTTTCAGGCAGTCACTGCCATGCGGGAAGGGCACCGTCCTCGAGCGGACACGCATGGAAGGGGGGTTCAGGTATCAACTGCCATGCTGGAAGTGCACCATCCTCGAGCGGACACGCGTGGAATGAGGGATTACGCATTAGCTGTCATGCTGGAAGTGCGCCATCCTCGAGCGGACATCAGAGAAGTGGCCTCGGAAAGGACGGGCGGTGCACGCAAGAGTCTGCTGGTATAGGGAGGGGCGGCCCCTCATTAAAACCCTCAGACAGACCTTGGCATTCTTCCACGCCTCAACGTGCCAGGGGGCACGGTGGCGGATTTCACAAAGGACCCCATCGTGTCGTGCGCAATCGGAAACGGTGAGCTGCGTGCACCGGAGGATGAGGAGGAGGAAGAGGAGGAGAAGGAAGTTGCGGATCAGCAGGAGGATGAGCAGGACGACAAGGACGAGGCGGATGAGGGAGGAGGACGAGGACGAACAGCAGCAGAAAGACGCGGGAGTGGAAGGATCGGGAGGAGCAGGAGGACAAGGATAAGGCGGAGAAGGGGAACCGAGGGGGGGGGACCAACGATGAGGAAGGATTCGGCTCCGGAAGCGTGGCCCGCGCTGGGGCGAGAACGCCATTCGGAACGACGGGGGGCAGCATGCCGGTCCTGCGTACAACGAGGGCCACGCTGCAGCGGGGGCACCATGCTGGAAGGACCGAGGCAGTTCGGGTGGGAGCACGCACGCACACCCCAGAAGTTCCTCCGGCGACAAAATGTCAGTGGAAATCGTACATACCTCAACATCAGCAAAAATGGCTGTGATAACACATCAATGTTTAAAAAGGCTGTGCGACCCAATGTTTTCAAGAAAAAGCTGTGCTGCTACAATAAGGCTGTGCTAAACCATTGTCTATCAAAAAAGCTGTGGGATCTTATCTGGAGCCGTCTTAGAGCCCTATATAGTTGGTGCATATGTAATGAACAAATGATGAGGAAGGGGGGAGATAAAGAGAGATAGAGAGAGAGAGAAAGACAGAGAGAGAGAGAGAGAGGAGGAAAGGCGGAGAAAGAGAGAGAGGGGGGAGGAAACAAAAGAGAGAGAGAGAGAGAGAGAGAGAGAGCTCGCGCTGCCGAGCGGGCTCGAGCAGCCCAGCCTCGAGGCCATGAGTCTCGAGGACAGCCCTGCGCCTCCATCAGAGGCGGCGCCATGGGTGGACGGCCCCGCCCTGGTGTGCCAGGACACATTTATTTTGTTTGGGGACAGAAGACGAGGAAAAAGGAGGGAGAAGGGGGAGGAGGAGGAGGAGGAGGAGGAGGAGGAGGAGGAGGAGGAGGAGGAGGAGGAGAAGGAGGAGGAGGAGGAGGTGGTGGAGGCGAAGCAAATTGAGAGGTCACCATCCCGATCAGCCCAGCTCAGAGGCGGGAGGGGGAAGGCCTGGCGTGGGCCCCTCTCGTTCGAGGTCCCCCCTTCCCTCGGGGCAGGGCATGGAATGAGCGGAATCGGCTGGGAAGAAGGAGGATAAGGAGGAGCGGGGGGAGGAGGAGGAGGAGGAGGAGGAGGAGGAGGAGGAGGAGGAGGAGGAGGAGGAGGAGGAGGAGGAGGGAGGAGGAGGATGATGAGAGGAGGAGGAGGGAGGAGGATGATGATGATGATGATGATGCGGAGGAGGAGGAGCAGGACGAGGAGGAGGAGGCGG